GCTACTGCATGAACAGGAGATAAAAACTGCTGAAAATTCAAAGGCATGAAAAGATGGAGAAACCTCCAGCTAAAAAGCATATTTTCTTTCAGATGTTCTTAATTCCTTGTTACTCTCTTTGATCCTTGAGGTGCTAAAAAGAAGGGGCTCAGATACCATTTATCACCTAAAAACTAAATTGAAGTAGAACTTGGAAAATAATTAAGTGCAATTTTTCTCTAAATGTGGGAAAAAGCAGCTGATGGACCACAGATTTGTACTTCCAGCTCTGGTAGATTGATATATTTGACTCTTCAAAAGCTTCACTCATCTCTTTTTAGATTCAYCTTCAGCTAACCTTTGTCCTGAACACATCTTTTCAAAATATTTGGAGTTGTTAGCCTTTGGTCACCTTCTCTRTGGTGAATCTATGTCCGGATGGGGAGAGCTGGCAGCGAGGGAGGTTTGTGCCCTGTGGGGTTGTTTAGATTTCTGCATTTTTTTGTGGAAGTTGGAATATTTTTGAGCAGCTTTTGAACTGTTTGGGACCAGGAGCAGCGCTGCTGATGTTGGTGGTGATCTCCAGAAAGCTGAAAGGTTCAGGAGCAGAGGAATTCCGTTGTTTTTGGGTGTTGAAAGGAAGGGCTGGGAGCTGTAGCCAGGGCCAGGAGTCTCTGCAGTCCAGGTAGATGGATGGAGGTGGTTCAGGAGACAAATGGGGTGGATGGTAAAGTTCACATTTACGTCCAAATGGTGACTTTTAACTCCCCAATCCATCCCATTTTCCTGAATATTTTAGGAATACTTCATGTGAGAGCAGTCCCTCTCTTACATAYGACTGAAGCTAGCCAGGACACAGGGAATGGCTTCCCAGTGCCAGAGGGCAGGATTAGATGAGATATTGGGAAGGAATTGTTCCCTGGGAGGGTGGGGAGGAGTTCCCAGAGCAGCTGTGGGTTCCCCTGGATCCCTGGCAGTGCCCAAGGCCACCCTGGGAGCACCTTGGCACAGTGGAAGGTGTCCCTGCCCATGGCAGGGGTGGGATGRGATGGTCCCCAAGGGTCCTTTCCTACCCAAACCTTTCTGGGATTCCATCATTCTCCTCTGTGAAGCTTTCCTGGCTGTGTATCCCTTCCCCTGCCCAAACAGGAGCAGGAATTTCCCGACCCACCAAGGGCCCACCCAGGACAGCTCCTCCAGACCGAGTTSCTGAGCTCTGTTCCTGGAGAAAAGTCAGATTTCCCCAGGCTGAGATGCAGCCCCAGCCCTGCTGCCTGTGCCAAAGTGCAGATCCTTCCCACCCCTGCCCAAAGTCCTCTCTCCACGCWCTGAGCAGGGGCAGTGTGGATGAAGGGCTTGTCCTTGTGCCCAGCCCCTGGTGGCCCCCCAAATTCTGCCCAAAATGATRAAAGACAGAGCCAATTGTGCCTGGTGTATTGGTGCATCTCCAGCCACAGCGATAGCCTGCAGCTTCACTCGCCAAAATCATTCCTGCTCTGAATTTTTTGACCTTTCTTTTTCCTTAAGGTCAGCTGAACATTTTAACAGGCAGTTTATCCACCCCAGCATTGCTTGTGCACCCCACAAGAGTGAGAATCAATAAGAAATAAGCAAGATGTTGGATTTTGAATTTATCACACCAAAATGAGAACCAATGATAAATAAGCAAGATGTTTGATTTTGCATTTACCCCACAAGAATGAGAACCAATAATAAATTAGCATCAAGATGCTGAATTTTGAATTTATCCCCTAATAATGAGAATCAATAATAAATAAGAATCAAGCTGTTGGTTTTTGAATTTGTCCCACAAGAATGAGAACCAATAATAAATAAGAACCAAGATGCTGAATTTTGAATTTATCCCCTAATAATGAGAATCAATAATAAGTAAGAATCAAGCTGTTGGATTTTGAATTTGCCCCCAATAATGAGAACCAATAATAAATGACCAAGATGTAAGATTTTTAATTTATCCAGTGATTTTTACTGGTGACTTGTATGGTGAATTCAGCCTTTCAGTTTCTTACAGGTCTTTCTTACTTCTCCTTTCAYGGAGAAACCACTGTCCTGACCTGCCACGCACTTTGTTTCCTTGGAAATACCAATGTTCTTTACTGCAGATAAATATTCAGAGTATTTCAGTCCTTCAGCCCAGGTTGGGATGTGCAGAAGCACAGTTTGGGGCACAGAGGTTGCTGCTGTCTGCTCATCACGTTGCCTTTCCCTCTTTTTTCCCAAGTACATCCTTAATCCTTGAGGCACCGTGTGCATTGGCTTTTTTCATCCAGAAAGCAATTTATGAAACGACTTGGATATAGTGCCAAAAAAATCCCATTGGGCAATAGCATTGCTTCAAATCCCATATTAGTATTGCCAATTTTTTTTTGTTGTTGCAGTCAGTGGAGCAAATTTTTGAATAATCATTAAGATATTTGCATAGAATTTGGTTTTAACCCCTACAGCAGTGGTTTGTGTTAAAACACGAGGAGTCAGASCACCCTAACTATGAAATATTTGTGTCCATGTCCATTTTGGAAGGTTGGGTTGTTGCTGGGTGATCCCTTGGAGCTGTGATGTGGTGGTTTTGTAGTTGGTGAACTTTACATACAGTGACAAAAAGAGGAAAGATCCTGTGTTTTCTGTTCTTAGTGGGGAGGGAAGACACTGGCTCAGCTGTAGACAAAAGACAGAATTCTTTGAGTGCATGCAGTCTTCAAAAAGGAAAAATTCATRAAGAATCCACCTGGATTTGAACATWAAGGTCTGGCTGATGGTTCTGTGAAGTTGATTTCAAAAGGGTTGTCCCAAGGAGTTTTGCTGTGCTATGCAGGCGTGGGGCTCCAGATTTCCTTCTTGATTTCTTACTTGTGCTTAGAGTTGAAAAAAAATTTCCCTATTCAAACTTCTTCCTTTTGCTGGTGCCTGGATTCCTATTATTCAGTTTACCTTCTCATTCATGCTTCATGCATTGGCTCACTTGGCCAGTTCTTTGGTTTCTGGTTCTCCTAAACAAACTGCCCAGATATTCAAGACGGGGAGATTTGCACCCTTGAGAAAAACAGTAACAAAAAAAGCTCCAACACCTCATCTGAAAAGAATGCTCAGGGCAAAAATTACTAAAGTAGTAAATGCCTGCTGTCAGCAGAGCCTGGGCAGGAGCGTGGGCTGTGTTCCTGTGCATTTCCAGGTTTTTCTSCTCCTTTCCCAAGCGCTACCATCTCCGGCCATTATTCTTTTCCWATCTTCCCCTCCCTACAACCATTCTAAACGAGTCCCTGTAATCCCCTGGCAGGAATTGCACAACCTCAGACGGGGTAGGTGTGTTGYTGGCAGCTGCCTAAAGAAAACAGCCCAGACATCTCTTCCCACTGCGAGCGCCAAGTGATGTCCCAGCGCCGCAGTCGTGATGGAGGCTGCAGGCAGRGACTCAAGATGGCAGGAAAAAAATGATGAAATGCTCTTGTTTTGTAACCATATAGCAGGGAATGTTCCCCGTTGTGGATTTCTTAACGCTCGAAGGCTGCTCGACCGAGAGGGTGCACGTGTCCCCAAACCGCGTGTTTGGGAAACGGCAACGATTCACCTTTTGTTAAAAGAATAAATGAACAAATAAATAAATGAAGCAATAAATAAATTAATAAATAAATGAATAAAGAGATAAATAAGCACATTCCCATTTTGTAACCCTATAGCAGGAAATGCTCCCCACTGTGGATTCCTTAATGCTCGAATCCTACTTGGCCAAGAGGGTGCACATGTCCCCAAACGGTGTGTTCGGGAAACGGCAACGATTCACCTTTTGTTAAATAAATTAATGAACAAATAAATAAATGAACAAATAAATAAATGAATAAATAAATGAATAAAGAGATAAATAAGCACATTCCCGTTTTGTAACCCTATGGCAGGGAATGCTCCCCGCTGTGGATTTCTTAACGCTCGAATCCTGCTTGGCCAAGAGGGTGCACATGTCCCCAAACGGTGTGTTCGGGAAACGGCAACGATTCACCTTTTGTTAAATAAATAAATGAATAAATAAATGAATAAATAGATAAATAAATAAATGTACTCCTGTTTTGTAACCATATAGCAGGACATCCTTCCCACTGTGGATTTTTTAACGCTCGAAGGCTGCTCGGCCGGGAGGGCGCACATGTCCCCAAACCGCGTGTTTGGGAAACGGCAACGATTCACCTTTTGTTAAATAAATAAATGAACAAATAAATAAATGAACAAATAAAAAAAATGAATAAATAGGTAAATAAATAAATAAGCACATTCCCATTTTGTAACCGGATAGCAGGGAATGCTCCCCACTGTGGATTTTTTAACGCTCGAAGCCTGCTCGGCTGAGAGGGCCGCATGTCCCCAAACAGCGTGTTTGGAAAACAGCAACGATTCACCTTTTGTTAAATAAATAAATAAATAAATAAACAAACACATTCCCGTTTTGTAGCCCTATAGCAGGGATTGTTCCCTGCTGTGGATTTCTTAACGGTCAAAGCCTGTTTGGCCGAGAGGATTCATGTGACCCCAAACCGCGTGTTTGGAAAATGGCAACAATTCCCCTTTCGTTTAATGAATAAATAAATAAATGAATAAATAGATAAATAAATAAATAAGCACATTCCTGTTTTGTAACCCTATAGCAGGGATTGTTCCCCACTGTAGATTTCTAAATACTTGAAGCTGTTTGGCTGAAAGGACCACGTGTCGTGAGCGAAGCTCAGTGTGGTTGGACAAAACCATGTGTTTAGAAAATGACAAAAATTAACCTTTTGTTAMATAAATTAATAAATAGATAAATAGTTAAATAAATGTACTCCTGTTTTGTAACCATATAGCAGGGAATATTCCACACTGTGGATTTCTTAATGCTCGAAGCTGAGAGAGTCACATGTCACGAGTGGAGCTCGGTGCCATTGGACAAAACGGCATGTTTAGAAAATGGCAAAAATTAACCTTTTATTATACAGATAAACGAATAAATAAATAAATGACACTGGGCTTTGCTTTCCAGTTTGCAGGAGCATGGACATCCGCAACAACCTGACCCGGCTGAACATGCTGGAGAACTGCACCGTGATCGAGGGCCACCTGCAGATCCTGCTGATGTTCAAAACCAAACCCGAGGATTTCCGCGAGCTCAGCTTCCCCAAGCTGACCATGATCACGGACTACCTGCTGCTGTTCCGTGTCTACGGCCTGGAGAGCCTCAAGGGGCTCTTCCCCAACCTCACAGTGATCCGAGGGACTCATCTGTTTTTCAACTACGCCCTGGTGATCTTTGAGATGGTTCATCTGAAGGAAATCGGCCTCTACAACCTGATGAACATCACCCGCGGCGCCGTGCGCATCGAGAAGAACAACGAGCTCTGTTACCTGTCCACCATTGACTGGTCCAGGATTCTGGATTCTGTGGAGGACAATTACATCGTGGCCAACAAGGATGACAAGGAGGAGTGTGGGGATGTGTGCCCGGGCACGGTGAAAGGGAAGAGCAACTGTCCCCCAACGGTGATCAACGGGATTTTCATCGAGCGCTGCTGGACGCACGATCGCTGCCAGAGAGGTGAGGACACGCTCTGGGGTCTCAGCTGGGGCTTTGCTGTTGAGTTTTGACCTGGCTGTGGCTGCCTCTGGATCCCTGGAAATGTTCAAGGCAAGGTTGGATGGGGTTTGGAGCACCCTGAGATAGTGGAAGGTGCCCCTGAAATGTCCAAGGCCAGGTTTGGATGGGGTTTGGAGCACCCTGAGATAGTGAAAAGTGTCCCTGAAGTGTCCAAGGCCAGGTTGGATGGGGTTTGGAGCACCCTGGGCTAGTGAAAAGTGTCCCTGAAGTATCCAAGGCAAGGTTGGATGGGGTTTGGAGCACCCTGAGATAGTGGAAGGTGCCCCTGAAGTGTCCAAGGCCAGGTTGGATGGGGTTTGGAGCAACCTGGGATATTGAAAAGTGTCCCTGAAGTGTCCAGGGTTAAATTGGATGGGGTTTGGAGCACTCTGGGCTAGTGAAAAGGGTCCCTGAAGTGTCCAAGGCCAGGTTGGATGGGGTTTGGCGCACCCTGGATTAGTGGAAGTTGCCCCTGAAGTGTCCAAGGTTAAATTGGATGGGGTTTGGAGCACCCTGGGTTAGTGAAAAGTGTCCCTGAACTGTCCAAAGCCGGGTTGGATGGGGTTTGGATTAGCCTGGGACACAGTGGAAGTTGTCCCTGCCCATTGGGATGGGGCAGGATGGGCTTTGAGGTCCCTTCCAACCCAAACCATCCTGGGATTCCTGGAGGGCTGACAGGTACCTGGTGATTGCTCCCTGTCAGCACAGATTCCTAAAAGCAGACTCCAACCTGGCATTAATTAGAAGGTGAAGAGAAAACCTTTGGGATGGGGCTCTTGGAGCAGCTCTTTCTGCCTGGATAAGGTATCCAGAAATGTGAGTTTGCTTCCTCTCAGAATGAGGAGCTGCCCAGAGCTCACCATTTTAATGGGCTTGGAGTGTTTTGTGTAACAGTTGGTGCTCTGAGCATCTTTGTCAGGGTTTGGGTGGGGAGGGAAAGTCCAGATTGACTCAAAGGGTGCAGCAGGTGGAAAGTCTGGGGAAGAGTGGGAAAGAGCCTCTGTGGAATAAACCCCATTGTGGAAAGGTGCAATTCCATCTTCACCAAAACCTTCCCACCACAAAAAGGTGAGAAATGTGGATGAGTGAGCAGCATTTGCACAGAGGAGAAGCTGAAGTCAGAGCTGAAGGGGGAGGGAGAAGAAGGAGAGAGGACCTGGAAGGGGTAGAGGGTGAAATAACAGGGGTTTTGGTTCAGGGTAGAAACTGTGTTCCAAAAACTCACTGCTGTTGCCACCCCAGTCCTCAAATGTATTAGAATTGCTTGTTAGAATTTAGAATTTCACACAGATTTGTTTTTTCCAAACTTGGAACTGACCTTGAGTTTAGCTTTAATTACATATTGGCCTTGATTGGTGTTAAATCTGCCTTGACGGGGAGCAAAGTGAACTGAGGTGAGAGTGACACATTTAGGGTTGTCTGCCTTTCTCGTGCATCCCAAATGAACCAGTGTGTCCTGAGACGAAATTAGGAAACTTGTGGGTTGGAGAGAAATCCTTGCCAAGCTTTAAAGGGCAGCTCCAAGTGCTAAGTGCCAAATTTGAGGAGGAATTCCTACCAGTGTGCACAAACTAATGCAATTAATGTGGTTTCCCCTCTGCTACTCCTCACCCCAAAATCRTCCAGCTTCCTTTTAAAGCAAGTGGTTATTTTTTCTGTGGCCAGAATGACGGGGTAGGAGCAAGAAGATGCGAGCGTGTACGTGTGTGTTCCTTTTTTAAAATGAAAAATAAGATTGTGAAGCATTTTATTTATAAACTTTGGGCTGTGCAGTTACATCAGCATTGAAACCTGGTTTCTTACACATTTTATAGAAATGTGCTGTGTTTTCTGCTGTTTCATAAGGTCCAACTTTTTCGGTGCCTGGACCATAATGTCCCTCATTCCTGTGAATTTTCTGGACCTGGAATGGATGGTTTTCCCCATTAAACAATTGCTTATTTCTGTGAAATCTGGAGGAATATGATATTTTAATGGTAATTTTTTATCACTGGGACAAAAATCTCATCTGCTGAACCTCTGGTGTGAGAGTTTGTGGGAGKACACCTGCCCAGTACCTGCCTCAGCTCGGCCACCACATCTGTTTGACTCAAAAATTGAGATTTTAATCAAAAAATTGTTTTAAAAATCAGTCAGCAGAGATGCTCCCAGCTGGTTTTCCATGTCCCTGGCACAAGGAGCAGCAGGGGAGGGATGCTCCTGCCTGTTTGGGCAGTGCACTTCCCAAACCTCTTAACAAGTGTTTGGATTTGGATTTGAATTCTTTGTTTGCTGCTGTTCTGCTGGGCAGGGATCTGTGTGATCCCCCCCTTGTGACACCTGCCCTGTGCTGCTGCCCTTGTTTTGGCAGCCTGGAACCTCTTGGAGTTTTTTTTTTTTTTGTGTGTTTGTGAGGAGCCTTCATCCCCTGAGCACACGAGGGTGGAGATGAAGTGACATTTATTTTGTGAACCTGCCTCCTCTGTTCTCGTGCCAGCCCTAATGCAGCTTTAGCATGTGTAATTGTTTTGTCAAGATTATTAAAAGCTTGTGTGGATTGTGTTTGGGCTTTCCTTAGCCCGGAGAGCCTCRCAGCAGCTCYCAGTGAGTGCCCAGGGTATTGAAAKYRTGAAATCTTCCCCTCTGCAGCTTATCTGGGAATCTTCAGTGCTGAAGTCTCTGCTTTTAAATATATTCTCTGTTATTTTTTCTCTTTATCTCCAAACCAGAATGAAATGTAGCAATTTCAGTACCATTTTCACAGGGAAGTTTGGTTTTTTGTGGAGTTTTTACCCAGGTTATTTGTTTCTTTTATGAAACTCAGTGTAGAATCTCCTGCTTTTTGTTGGTTTTTTTTCTTTTTTTTTTTACATCTCTGAATGGGAAGTTGCTGCTATCTCAACCAGGAGAGCAGTGCTGCCCAGGGACTGGGAAAAAACCCTTAAAGGATATGTAAATATTGATTGTTTGGATTTTACAGAGTGGGTGTCAATTGACAGAGACGAGTCCCAAACTGACTGGCTTTTCCAGCCTGCTCAGCTTGGAGTTTTGCTGGAAAATATTGGGAGATGGGCAAGAAATTTGGTGTGGGAAGGCTGGAAAATGTCACAGAAAATTGGTGCAGCCAGGTGGGGATTGGTCTCTGCTCCCAGGGGACAGGAACAGGAGAGGAAACAGCCTCAAGTCATCCCAGGAGAAGTTTAGATTGGAAATTGGGGGAAATTTCTTTATGGAAAGGGGCAGTCGTGGAGTCCCCACCCCTGGTGATGCTCAGAAGCAGCAGGGATGTGACACTTGGGGACAGGGTCAGTGACAAACACAGTGGCAGTGCTGGTTGATGGTTGGACTGGAAGATCTTAAAGGTTTTTTTTTCCAAGGATTTCCAAGGTTTCTTCCAATCTGAAGGATTTTGTGATTCTCTGGAAGGTCCTTTGTGTGTGGGAAGGGGCAAAGTTGGGTCCTGGTGTCCCCCATCTCTTCCCCACCATCCCCTGCCCTCCCTCCCCACCTCCCATCCTCCTGCACCTTTGATATCTCTTTATTGAATCCCAGTTAACTCCAAAACAGACTCTTCATTTAGAGCATAGAATTATCTCCAAGGCACCCATCCAAGCCTCTGAATCATCCCTGGAGCTACAATTCCAGCCCGGAAATTTTTATTTATTTTATTTGTATTTTTTTTCAGTTGGTGATAACGTGTTCAGGACAGCAAAGTAAAGGATCTTTTTACAGACGTTGGGGCAAAGGTTGGGGATGAAACCAGGGGGGAGGAACTGAAATAATTTCTGGGCAGCTGCACCCTTGGAAAAACCAATTGCAGTGCTGAGAACTCCCTGTCTGATGTGTAGGTGGATGCTCCATGGGTTGGGATCTGTCAGGATTTGCTTCCTCAGGGTTTTCTTGATTTTTTTTCCCCTAAATCACTCACATTGGTGTGAAAACCGAGGCGGTTCAGTTCAGGCCAGCTCATGTTATATTTTGGGTAGGCAGGCAGGGAAATGTGTAGTCTGTTTGGAATTTGGGTCTAGCCTGATGCTGTTTATGGCAGCCAAGTGCTGTTCCCGTTCTGGGGGTTTTGTACCTCCTCACTGACATTTTTAACATTAATTTTTTTTTCACATATTCATTTTTTTTATTGCCATCCAAATGTACTCCCTGCTCCTGCACTGCAGAGAGTGTTTTTGCTGAAGAATGCAGACAACAAAAATGCTGCAAATGCCACGTCCTAGACCTCGGTCTGGATCTGCCAAACATGATTTTCATATTTCGCATTTTTTCCACGTTGGAGTTTGTAATTTTTTTTTTTTCTATATGTCTGTCACTCCTCTTGCGGAAGGAACAATTCCCTGTGAAATAGGATTTCCTGCCAATTCTCCCTGCAGCCAGGCTGCTCTGGCCATACAGAACTTGGAGCAGCCTGATGGGTTTGACAGTCTAATTATAAAGCTTTTATTGCACTCGGGTCACGTGCAAGTGGAGGAAGGAAAAATGGAATAAAATAAAACAAAAAAAGACCAGCAAAATGATCTGCAATATCAGGCAGTGCCTTGGTGAACATGGAAGGGCCACATTCCTGGGATAGAAGGATGGATATCTGAAATATTTTTGATAGTGATAGGAAAAGAGGGAATGGTTTTAAATGAAAAGAGGAAATATTTAGGCCAGATGTTAGGGAGAAATTCTGTGCTCAGAGGRTGGGGAGGSCCTGGYACAGGGTGCCCAGAGMAGCTGTGGCTGCCCCTGGATCCCTGGCAGTGCCCAAGGCCAGGCTGGACAGGGYTTGGAGCACCCTGGGACAGTGGAAAGTGTCCCAAAATGGGCTTTAAGATCATTCCAACYCAAACCATCCTGGCACTCAATCCTTAATTCTGTGAACTAAATGCTTCATTCCTTAAAAAATAAAATTAAATACACGTTGTTTCTGTTCATCCTAAATGAAACCTTTGTAGGAATCCCTCACCGGCTTAATCCTGAGATTTCTT